GTTCTTTTATCATGACTTCTGTTTCACAGGACTCCACATTACAAGTTCGAAACTTGTACCAGGTGAGCGACTGAGCAAGTTTACATCAGAAAAGCAATACATATGGAGCTGGTTATGTGATGCAAACATCAAAATATAAAAGTTTACAAATAATCAACTAAGGTAATCATGATTTGTGTAAAAAGGAATAAAAGTTATTGGAGTTTTACTGCCACTAGTGTTCATTTCACCTGTAAACTGAAGTGAATTATATATACTATATATAGGTAGGTGCATTATTCAAGTTTTGCAAAAATCTAGTTAGAGGCACGCTTAGTTTTTGAATATGAGATACACATTTTTTAAAGGGGTCATATGATGCTGCTAAAAAGAACATTATTTGGTGTATTTGGTGTAATGAAATGTGTTTATGCGGTTTAAAATTAAAAAAACATTATTTTCCACATACTGTACATTATTGTTTCTCCTCTATGCCCCGCCTTTTTGAAACGCGTAGATTTTTACAAAGCACGAAAAAGCGAGGTGTGCTGTGATTGGCCAGCTATCCAGTGTGTTGTGATTGGCCGAATACCTCAAGCGTGAGACGGATCTTTGGATTTGAGACTTTAGTCTTTGCAACTTTACAGATCTTCTTTATGCACCAAGAGCTTGTAACACTCCAAAGAGAAAGGAAAAATTGAAATCGCATCATATGACCCCTTTAATCATTTTTTTATAATGGATACTAGAGGAATGAAAAACTAGAGGAACTAAAAACTAGAGGATAGAGGGTGAAAAAACTGTTACTAATTTCAGGGCCCCAATTAGAACCTTAGTGTGTTTCTTCACTCACAATGTTCCCGGTTGTCTGATGACAGCCCTGCTAAAATGGGAGTTTCCAAAAATTTATGCGTTGAATCAACACATTCTCACTCCCAACTCGTCACATATTAGGGCCTTTTGCACCACGGGAACCTTTTCATAGTACCAGAACTAATTACCGCCGGAACTGGTTGCGATTTTAGTACCGGACTGCCTTTTTCGAGAACCAAATTAGCTCCTACTCCGGAGCAGGGTCTAACCAGCACAACTGGTACTAATCGTGATGTAAGTAGACATTGATTGGCCAAATGCGTTCGAGAATATCCTCACCCGCTATGATTTAAAACGCTGTGTAAACATACTGTAAACATTGTGTCAACTTATTTCGCAAGTATGGAGAACAGCGATAGATGGACGGACGCTGAAGTGCAGGCACTTGTAGCAAATGTAGCACTGCCAGTTGTCATTGGAGATTCTTAGTCCTCCTTCCCTTCTTTCAATCTCTTTCACTTTTTAACGCACAGGGTACCCTTTTAGCATAATTTTTTGACGTGCAGGGTCCTCCATTGCTTTAAATAAGAAACCCTTGGCTTATAAAATTTTATCACCATGATTAAATTATATATTGGGTCATAATATTGCCATTATTGTATATATGTTGGGGTGTGATTTTTCAATGTAAACAGTCACAACACTTTTATTTACATTACACTTTTATGAGCATGTAACCCAACCCCTGCCCCTATACCATTTGTCAATAAAACACAAAATATAACAGGCAGATACAGCTACAGTCATAATTTATTCAAAAAATATTCATATTCGAAGTCTTCCAAGGCAAAAAGATTGATTTGTGAGAGGAATAGATGCGATCACCGTCTGCATCTGCCGTAAAGTTCAGATCCTGTGTGCAGTCTGTGCAAAAAATTCAAAAAATGCCACCAGAAGAAGCCTTACGTCAGCCTTGGTTGTGAAATGCTATTGGCTCTTGTTGGTCTCGAGTCGTGACCGATTGCGTCATGCTAATGTATGGGAGTATCTTTTTGAATAAGATGCGAGTGCTTAACGGAGTGGGATCATTTTATGGATTCAAATATTGTATGGATTCAGAAGACTTGGAATGTAACAGGACTTATTTGTAATGCTTTTATACTGCTTTTTTTATGGTCAGTTTTTGCAATAAATACCTTTTATTTTTATTTGTGTTTTATATTGTTCAGAAGTGGGTAGGTTTAGGGTAGGGGTGGGGTTAGGTGCTCCAATGAAAGTATACATTTCTATAAAATTATTTCAATTATTTCAAAACAACTGAAAACAATGGAGGACCCTGCACGTCGAAAAGTGACACTAAAGGGGTACCTTGAGCATCAAAAAGTGACGCCAAAAGGTCCTGACCAAGCATCAATATGTGACGAGTTGGGAGTGAGAAAGTGTTGGTTGAATATATTATGATACATTGTCCTATCTGAGTTCACTTGAATTCTATCATGTCACACAGCACCCCATCCATGCCCTCATATTCACTCCTTTTGTTTCTCTTTCTGTCTTAAAGGTGACATATTATGCCCCTTTTTACAATATGTAATATAAGTCTCTGGTGTCCCCAGAATGTGTCTGTGAAGTTTCAGCTCAAAATACTCCACAGATAATTTATTATATAATTTTGAAAATGCCTATTTTGAGTGGAAGCAGAAACAAGCTGTTTTTCGGGCCTGGCTCTTTAAATGCAAATGAGCTGCTGCTCCCCGTCCCCTATTCCAGAATAGAGCTGCGCCTTTACAGCTCGTATCTGCTAAAAACATCTGTTTTGGTTCTGATTATCATGTTTATCGTGCTGAAATCATGCGTTTTAAACCATATGAGTTTAAACTTCGTCACCAAGGGAGCGAAATCAGACGCGCTCGTTTTCTCAGACGCTTGCAGAAAAAGGCTTACCTAAACAAAGTGATTGGGTTAATCTTTTTCACGTTTCCTTGGTTGGTAGATGCACCAGGGACCTGATTATAGCCCTTAAAACCTGGAAAAGTCAGATTTTCATGACATGTCACCTTTAAAATATCTCCATCTCTCAATTTTTGTCTTCCAGCAGCCCTGTGGTCCACACACTGTTTAATCCATAGACTATGTCTGCTTGCCGCGCTCTCTCTCTCTCTCTTTGAAGTTGTTCCAGGGTACGTCTGTGAGGTGTGTCAGACCTTGGCGGCCGCTCTCCCTTTGGCATTCAGCAAATTCACATCAATCAGGTCAGATGATCACTGAGCAGTATGTGACCCCTCCTTCCCCAGAGAGACCTGTGCTTAAGAGCCCTGACCTGTGCCACGAGCTCAAGCCCCAGGTTATCTACTCCACTTTTATCTACTCCATGTCATGCTAATCCCCTTTCTATTGACTGATGAAATATAAAATTTTGCTCATATCATTCTGAAATGTAAACCTGTGAAAGCCGTTGTCATCCTTTCAGCTAGAGTCAGTCTCAGTCTATTCTGAGCTAAAGGCTGGATGTGGGCTATGGCTGATGCATGTCTAAATCACAACATAGGAAATCAAATTTGACCCAAAGGCTTGCATATCAAATCACTAAAACAGTGTTAAAGAAAAAAATGAGTGTGATGCAGCATCTGACCAACATCCAAGACACCAGCTCTGAACTACATAACTACATGTCATCTATAATTTATACAAACTGTAATTAACTGGTCAGAGCAATGAGACAACAGTGAACAACAGTGATGTGAATTGACCAGATATATGATTTAATAAATATTTAAGAAAAAAAAACTAATACATTTTGTGGAATTAATGCTTAAAATTAGTCCAAAAATGTGCATTTGGAATACAAACAAATTACATTTATATTCAAGACTCATTTTAAGCATTTATGACTATTATTATTGGAAAATAGATTGAAAAGAGAACACTGCAAGAATTTTGCAGTGTATAAATTTAATTCACACTAAGAAAAAATTAAAAGCTTGAGAACAATTAACAATTTTGACCACTGTATGAGACAAAAAAGGAAACTAATGTTTGTTCTTTAAGGACTCAATTCTAAGTCTAATAACTGTCATTAATAGCAATAATAATTAAAAAATAAATACATAAAATGAAAAAATATTTTAGCTTAAATAATTATATTGATTCCACAGTTGTGAAATTGTTTGCCACAATAACTGAAATATAATGAATAAAATATTGCAAAACAGTATCACACAGGTCATGGTTGTACACATGAATAAAAAATAAAATAAAATAATTGTTTGTTGTAATAAAATATGCTGTCTCATTTTCTTATAGCCTTGTGACTTTTTCATGTTCCTTTTGTTAATTGTTCTCACTCTCTGTTCAAGCTTCCCTTTGCTTTTTATACCCCAAAAATCTAAAACAGCCGCCTATGAGTCACAGTTGGGGTCGGATGAGATCCTCACTGCTTTTACAATGCACAGAGGAAGGCTCCCAGCTCCGTCAGCTCATTAAAAACACAACATGCCCACATGAACCCATAATAACACAGATCATCATACTCCTTCAAACACACTCTTTACCTCAGGCAGGCCACAAAATGAGATGAAATGAAAAAAAAATCCAAATCCCCAGACGAAGAGAAAAAAGCCCAATACAGTAATATAATCATAATGAGACTGCTGGTTTATTTCCAAACAACATTATTTTCGTCAGTCGATTCTCCTTGAAGATCTTGACTCTGTCAAATCATTACTAAAGCGCCATGCCATAAATAACCAAAAACACCCAGCAAGCCTCTCAACAGCTATGAGGCACGTCTTTGTTCCCTCTCATTTATCCATTATTGTCAAGGATTTACAACATCCGCTTACTTCTGCCATGTGAACAGACTGTTCAACACTCACTAGAGATGTAGATGAATAATATAGCTGTTTAATTATTTCCTGATAAAACCTAACCAATACATTCATGAAAATAACGAATAGGAACATTAACACAAAAACATCCTCACATTGTTTGCCAGATGAGAGCATTAAATAGAGAGGTTCTGGCTCTGTACCTTCTATAATCCTTGGTTTTGGACACTCGGCGTCTACAGTAATCTTTCTCTCTCCAGTAGTGTTTCATCCAATGCATATGCTTCATAATGAGATATACATATCCCTGCATGCTGGACAGAAAGTCAAGAAAGACAAACCCACTCAATCACACACACACATGCTCTCATACATGCCTACCTCTTGTGTTGGTCGCCATGTCTGCCACCTTCTGAAAGGCATCCAGAAATGCAACTGCTGCTAAAACCGTGGTTCTAAAAAACAATGAGGTAAATTAATGACGATGTCTTTTCTCAGCATTCAATAAAACCCTCCTCACATGACAGGTGCGGATGTGAGCCGGAGACTGAACTTACCGGAGTTGAGAGTGCAGCTTGGTGGCCTTGGCACTGAAGTCTTCCCAGACAGGATATGAACACTACAAAAGAACAAAGACACAAGGTGAGTTGTGAATGTGCACTTTGTGTAAGTATGAATTCAATGTACAAAGCACTAAATGTGTCTTTTTTTTTAGGTTCAGTGCATTGTTCGTACACTAATGTTCAAAATTTAGAGGCAGTACAATTTTTTTATGTTATGTAAAACAGTAATATTATAAAATATTATTGCAATTTAAAATAACCGTTTTCTATTTTAATATATTTTAAAATGTATTTTATTTCTGTGATGACAAAGCTGAATTTTCAGCATCCCCTGGTGAAAAAATAAATATACTAAAATGTATTTGAAATACATTTATTTCATGTTAAGTATTATACAAATATATTTACATATTTATGTACTTAATAAAAATGCAATTTTTAATAATATACTAAACTGGTATACTTAAAGTCTGCTTAATTGGAACAACTAATTTTGCACTTAATGCACTTTAATTGTGCGGAAGTAGTGCTGAAGTCCAACTAAAGATATACTGAAGTATATCTGATTGTGATAAAGTGGAACTATTGCAAGTATACTTGAAATACCTTGCATTTAAAGACTAATATTATTCAAAGATCATACAATCCTCATCAGTAGTGACATTTTGTACTTTTTGTATACTAAATTGGAACAACTAATTTTGTGCTTAATGCAATTTAATTGTGCAGAAGTAGTGCTGAAGTCCAACTAAAGATAGAAGATTTGATTGTGCTAAAGTGGAACTATTGCAAGTATACTTTAGATACACTTTACAAATCTTGCATTTAAAGATCTTTATTATTCAAAGATCATACAATCCTCATCAATAGTGACAATAAAACACATTTTAGCTTTAATATTAAGAAATGTGCATTGTGCACAAGTAGTACTCCAAATAAAGTTTAATTATAATTTTTATATCAGTAACTCTCGAGCGATACGTCAGTAAATATGTTAATAGATTTGAACTATACTCAGTATGAAATAAATGTATGTAAATAAATACATTACTTTTTTTTTCTAGGGTCATTACTCCAGTCTTCATTGTCACATGATCCTTCAGAAATCATTCTAATATGATGATTTGCTACTCAAGAATTTTTTTTTATCATTCTTCATTCAACCTTATCATCAGTATTGAAACCAGCTGAAAACCAGTGCTTCACTCTTAAAAATAAAGGTGCTTCACGATGCCATAGAAGAACCTTTTTGTCTAAATGGTTCCAAAAATAACCTTTAACATCTTAAAAATAAAGGTGCTTAAAAGGTTCTTCACAGCGATGCCATAGAAGGTCAAAGGTTCTTTAAAGAACCATCTCTTTCTTACCTTTTTATAATCTGAAGAACCTTCTTTCGCCACAAAGAACCTTTAGTGAAACAGAAAGGTTCTTCAGATTATAAAAAGGTAAGAAAGAGATGGTTCTTTAAAGAACCTTTGACTGAATGGTTCTTTGTGGAACCAAAAATGGTTCTTCTATGGGATCGCTGTGAAGAACCTTTTAAGCACCTTTATTTTTAAGAGTGTGCTTGATATTTTTTGTTAAAACTGTGATACATTTTGATATATTCTTTGATGAATAGAAAGAGCAGCACTTATTTTAAATAGAGACCTTTTGTAACTTGATAAATGTCTTTAATGTCACTTTTGATCAATTTAATGTCCCCTTGCTGAATAAAAATATTAATTTATTTCAAAAAAATATATAATATGCAAATATATGTACTTTTTACAAACCTGCCATCAGTAAGAATAAAAATAAAGGTCAATGTGGATTTGATCAAGTATGTGTAGTCATTGCAGCAGGATGTTAGCTAGAGATTAAAAATAACTGTAGTCATGTGGGCCTTTACATACATAATGTGTGTGTCTATATGGATATAATAATTTGGGGGGGATGTGGTCTGTCCTGGGGCAGGAACAGGAGTGTCGTCTGGTGATAAGGGGATGAGCCATGTACATTTCTGCCCAGTTGCCACGGAAACGCAGCAGACGAAGTATTCTGTGTGAAGTCTGCTTTACAACAGGCCACGGGCTAAATGCAATATCACAGTAGCCGAGCAGAAACTAACAAGCATGACGACTAGTACACACAATCTTGTGACTGTCATCCTAAGCCATAATGGTGTTTTTCTCTCTCAAAATCACTTCAATAAAAATCTCACTTCAAAAATGTATTTTTTATATATTTTTTCTGCTATTAAATGTTCTTCTTAAATTGTTCAATTCCAGATTTTGAATTTTGAATTTGGCACTTTATTTTAGCACTAAATTTTGCAAAACATCATCATAATAACAACACATGGTACATGGTATTGTTGTTGGACATGAAGAAATGGTAACCTAAAAATGAGCTTCATGTTGTAACATCTACACGTCCACATGAATTTTATTAAAATAAAAAAATGTTACTGAATCAACCCAAATATATTAAGTTCCACCAACAAAACTAAATTTAAGGATAAACAGTTCTTTAAAGAAACAATTGCAGGTTACCACTTTGTATACTATGGTATGAAGTTGATATTGTAATCAGCTCCCAAAATATTAGCAAAAGTTATAAAGTATAACCTTGTTACTTCAATGTTAAGTATGTTTTTGAGATGTTAAATCTCTTACTATTATCACTCAACATATATTAAACGTCATATTGTGATCTCACTATCACTGTCGCATCTCCACTTCCAGCTCTGTTTACAGTATCTCCATGTACCTGTGTCACTGCTGGTGAAGCAGCTTCTGGCCACAGCTGTCTTAAGACCGCCAAGCTCAGTTGATCTTTGAGCAGGGCAGATTCAGACTGCTGTGTGTCTGCACTTCAGAGCATAGCTGGAGGTCAAGATTGTGCTCAGAAACTGGAAAAAGACCCCTCCCCTTCCTCTTACACCCACACATTACCCAAATACCCCCCTGTGCCATCTCTCACCTTGCCCCACAGTCAAAAGAAGCAAGAATGATTTTGAGCAGGGGTGGGCAAACTTGGCCCTTCCAGGCCACTTTCCTTCAGAGTTTAGCTCCAACCCTAATCAAACACACCTGAACCAGCTAATCATTGTCTTCAAGACTACTAGAAGGCTACAGGCAGGTGAGTTTTATCAGGGTTGGATCAAATCTCTGCAGGAAAGTGGCCTGGAAGGGCCAAGTTTGCCCATCACTGATTTTGAGATACAGAGAAAAGGGACTGACGCATGGGGACCAGCAAAATGCGTAGCCTAAAGTGCTGTTTGGATGGGATTCATTTCATACATGATGTCAGAGGTACTATTTTTAATGCAGAATGACTGTCATTTTATTTACTGAATCGGACAGAATCAAGATGTCAAAATTTTTACTAAGGTGGGGGTGTCTGTTATCTGGATGAGGAATAAAGAAATATGAGGTTGTAGAAACCCCACTGAAATAAACAAGCAGCCTCTCTTTATTATTAATTTCATTTTTTTATTATAGCATGGGATATCAACAGTACTGTTATTTTACCCAAAAAATTGGCAAAAAAGTCTTGGCAAAATTCAGCTTTGTAAAAATTTTAGCTTTAGATATGGTACGTAATTAAGGAAAAAAATAAATGAACACTAAAAAATTATCATAATTTTTACCGCCCCCAAAAAATACATAATTGACATTTCCAAAATTCCCTATATGATGGTTTTGGATTGGTTTATGCCTAAATTCTAAATATATGCATTTGCCTAACTTTTTATTTTTTATGTTATATCTTATGTTGTTAATTTTTTGTTTTGGTGCTTTGTAATTACGTGTATGACACTATGTGCACTTCCATATATTAGTATTTCTTTACTGTAAATTTAAGTTTAATCCATAAAACCTAAAATGTTGCTACTGTAACCACAATAACTCTTTTTTGAATTATCTTAAATTCAATTAGATTAAAAGTTGTGCGTTAAAAAGCAGATATGTTTGTTTTAGATGGGATTAAAATACAAAACTGTCTGTCAAACAAACAAGAGAAAGAAAGAAAGAAAGAAAGAAAGAAAGAAAGAAAGAAAGTGTAGGACAAGCACAGAGGGGCACAGTCACTGGTGACCCTACAAAAGCTGCTACGCTGACAAAGATGGTGAGCGTCTCTCCTTTGATCCAGCATCTCGTCCTGCTTGTTTGATGTCTGCTAATTTGTTCTGAAATCTGAACACGTTACTCCCGGGGGACCCCTGCACTGTTTGAAGTACCCTAATCTGCGGCACGGGACCGAGGTTCATCATCTTCAGGGGGCATGTAGGAGAGTGATAAGCCACAAGACCCGCCTCCATCATCCATCCCCGGACATTAGCATATTCACTAGGCTAATCCAATAGCAGGGCAGCAATGATTCCACTTATGCAAATATTGTTGGCTGGCTCATTTTCACTAAAGTTATTTCCCATCTTTCTATCCCTTTCTTTATTCAATCTCTTTCTTGACTTGCCAAGTGATCCACAAACAATTGGATAAGTACCTCTCCCCACCATTTGAGATAAGACATGCTCAGATGGGCCCTGTAAAGGAAGCAGGCTATTTTCGGTTTTGCCAAACCAAGTGGAAAAACGGCATTAAAGGTGAATTTTAATAAGGCCAAAAAAAAAACGATGATAAAAGCTTAAGCTATTTCATGCATTCTGCCAACATTACCACAGCTGGCAGCTGCTGAAGGATTTAGCATTTGGGTCAATGACAATTAGACAAGAGAATCCGAGATAAAGAAAAGAAAAAAATATTTTAAAAATCTAATGCATGTGCCAGTGGTTATATTCATGTTGGATACATACTGTATAGTTTTTTAAAAACCTTTACACCATTATATTCAGCAAAAAAAAAGTAAACAAAATCCAAAAATATAATCAAGTAAAGCATCAAGTAACCATCAAAAAAAGTATTAATATTTTTAAATATATTTTTAAGTTTAACAGATTTATCGTGAATTGTTAATTCATAAAGGTTAATAAACATAATTCAAAACAAAATTTCACAATTGTGGACAACACAAAAAGTGTGTGGCACACCTTCCAAAACACCATGGCTGT